ACACACACACACACACACACACACACACACACACACACACACACACACACACACACACACACAAAAGTTGAACATATAGGAAACTAAACACACAGAGGTTTCCCCCTATGGCAAAAGAGGATGAGAAGCAACTCAAAAAAAAAGGTAAGTAAAGACTCACATCCTTTCTCTGCTTCTCCAAAAGCTTGATCTTCTTTTCATACACCTCGATGTCACATGGTTTCGCTGGGTTTTTCTCAATAGATTTTCCACTCTGGGGACATACACACACAAAATTTTCCTAAATCCACAAAAAAAAACCTTCATTGTGTGAGTATACAGACAGGAAGCTTTAAAAACTGATTCTCAACTTACAACAGGTGTGTTTTGTGAAATGAGCAATAATAATAATAATAATAATAATAATAATAATAATAATAATAGGAATAAAATACCTTCTGTGGTGTGCTGACCTCCATTTTAGGTCGGACAGCAGAAGACTCCTCTTTAACCGGCTCGTCTTTGGCCTCGGGAGTCTCGGTGTCGGATGGCGCCACGGTTACCGCCACTCCTCCCGTGACCAGCTCCTTCAGTTTCTGATTCTCCTGTCTGAGGCAGGGACAAAGTGAAAACGATTACGAAGCGTTTGTGAGAAAGGTCCGTTTTTCCTGAGTTTATTGACGCTACGCGCAACATGTCCTTTGGGAAGAACCTAGAACACCCGCGAAACAAAAAGCACTGGAATCCTGGCCAATCGGAAGTGAAAGTATGGTTAACTGCCATCTTCCAAATCACTGAAGTGTAATGTTTTTAGGACTAAAAATAGTAACAGGAAGTTGATTCTTAAACCATTCAGAGACATAAATCAAGACGAGACAAGGACAGTACTTTGTCCTCTCAAATACATTTTCATAAGATGATTTCTGCTCAACAGAAGCAAAACAGAAAGATTACCTCAGCTGTTCCAAGTCTCGGTTCCTGATATGATGATCTTCTTCCATTTTCTTTCGAAGCTCATTGTTCTCCTGTCTGAGCTGCTCGCAGAGAGTCTAAAAAACCAAAAGAAGAAGAGAAAAAGCCTATAATTATAGCACTGGTCTGTAGCGTAGCATTGGGGGTTTTAAAGTTGAAATAATTGCTTTTGATAGAAAAAAATAAGTTACGTTGGTGTTAAAATGGTGTTTTTCTGACATTGTCTTCTACTTCTCACTTTCAGTCCACAAAAAACTGCAGCAAAGCTAGTTTTTAAAAGCACACGGTACATGTAAAAATACTCAAATAGCTCTAAGTTTTGATGTACATCCAGTCTCGACGGCTGGAAATTCACCGCGTCGACTTTTGCAAATAAATATTTAAATGTAAATATAAGATCAAGTCTTGTTAGGTTTCCAAAGCAGCTGGGCAGATTCCTCTTCAGATTGATGAAGCATCTGCAAGTGATGTTTACCTCCAACTGTCGATGTGTTTTTTTTTTTGTACGTGTGCAAGTCACAGTGTCCTACTTACATCGACAATGAATGTGGTGTCGCATTAAAGACGCACACAGAGTCATGGCTGCAGTGAACTGTCAGCGTGTCTCAGAAAGTCCATGCAAAACAACTTTTATAAGTCGGCAAGTACGGCCAGGAATCGCACAGATTTCTCCTTTCAAGACTCCAATTTTACAAACTTCCCTCCAACTTCTGGTCATTTCATGTATGAATACAACCATTTACTTTAAAACACACGCGTTGTACAGAAAAACATGCAAAGCAGCAAATGACACTTCTGGAAACCAGTGAATAAACAGTGGCCTGTTTTGTAGTTCTTAAATCTCACAGTTCAAATCTTAAAACAAGAAACGGTTGATTTTTGTAAAAAAAACAGATTTTAGTAAAATGGAAAAAGCCGAATACAGGTTGAACTTATTTATAAATGTCAAAGCTGAATAAATGGAACAAACGCTCTACATTTATTAAACATTTTGAAACTTAAGCTACGTTCGCCAGACGTTTCAGAACCTTAAATCAAAGTACGGCTATGTGGATCTTTTTATGATAGAGACGGGAAAACTACCTGTTTATTTAAGAGAAATCTGCTTTGTAAACTTCACTCTGGAACACATTATAGAAAAAAACAGCGTCTGAATGAATCTGTGTTTCCCACCTGTAAGAGGGAGGTCCTCTGCTCGTTCTTTTGGACCTTGGAGGAGAGGTGGTGGAACTCCACAGCCATGCGGCCGAGGTGAGCCAGGAGCTGGTTGGGGTTGGACTCCTCGGCGAATATGCTAAAGGAACTCTCGAGTCTCTTCAGCTGGCTCGCCAGCTCGTTGTTCTCCTGAGGAAGCTGTTGGGGGATCGCCCCTGCCACCAGCCCGGCCTGGAGATACCCACACGGGTTAAGAGTCAGTCATGGTCGGTAAGCAAGCTCACCCCCCACGCATTCATTTAAGCCAGTCAAATATACACAAAGCAGATGATTAAAGTAAAACCGGTTCGTCTGGTTTGATTTCGCTCCTAGGTACTCTGGATTTTTTTAAAGGATGGGTGCTTCTCCCAAAAGTAGAACGCCAAAAGCTGTCGACATATATGTGAGCCATCATATTGACATGAGGATTAAGTCAAATTTGGTCAAAATGACCTAATTTTCAAATTCTTGGCTTTAAAAGCTACATTTTGATACCTGGATCATTCTGATATCATAACTAAATCCATATATATGACTCAATTTGTCTTGTTGGTTTCAATAATACATAAATATTTGGTCTGAATCCTAATTTTACGTCATTTTCATGAGGAATTTTTGATGTTCTTTTAAAGAGGAAACCTCAAATTAAATTTGAATATTGAGATTTCCCAGCTCAAAAGAAATAAAACTTTGCTAGCTCACAGGGAAAATCTCAACATTTTAAGGTGTTTTTCCTCAAAATCAGGTTTTTTTTGTTGCTACTGCTCAAAAAAGTGCTTCAAAATTTTGTTTTATGATTATATTTCAGACAGTTCATTCAAGTAATACATTTATAAAAGGCATTTATTCATTACATTTTGACAAAATGCAATTTTTATTAACATTTTAGTCAAAACACTATATTTGCCTATTTCTCCATACACCACTTTTGGACTTAATCCTCGTTTCGATGTGATGGGTCACATATTTCTATTAAACATCATACCAAGTGTCCCATTAAGACATCGCCTGGGATGCAGTATGTGAATGAATCAGCAGAGTCATTCTGGTCAGTAACAATCCTGGAACTTCCCCTCACTGACTCAGCTGGAGCTACCAGTATTGAGTTTGTTGGTGAGTCAACACACCAGTGATGGATTCCAACTACTGAGGAAATTACTCTAAATGGGAAAGCCTGAATTTAGCCTCAATGAGCCCATCAGGATAATAATAGTTTACACAGGGCTTAAAAATCAAGATACTGTCATCTTGAAAAGGTGTGCGGAACAAACTGTATGACTCATGCAACGTTAAAAGCTCTTAACTAGTTTATTTTAGGTATTTACTTGGTACGCACAGTCAAGGCTTCTGAGTTATTTCCCTCCATATTTACTGCCTCAAATTCTGATAACATCTCCTGTAAAAACCGAAAAGTTAAAGTATCACGTTACAAATCCCTCTGTTAGCTGTCAGAGACGGCCCGTTAGAGGTTCTGCGTGTGTTTAAACTTACACTGGGCTTCTCAGGTTGAAGGGTCTTCCCTAAACAGCTCATTTGCTCCTCCTTCTCTGCAGTCGAGTGTAAACAGGGTTTGCCTGAAATAAACCACAGCGAGGTTAAAGGCTACAAAAGTACGGCTGCAAAAAAATAAGCTTTAGTCCAAATCCCACCGGGGACCTACTTTGTGTCTCGGTCTGAGCGGGTCCACCCATGCACAGGCTGGCGGCGAAGCTGGAGGACTTCAAGGCTTCGTTGTCTCTCACCAGTTCCTCCACTCGCTGCCGAAGGCGCGACGCCTCCGACTGAGACTCCTCCAGCAAGTCGCCTGTGCGTTTCAGAGAAGAAAAAAAAAAAAACGTGTCTGTCCAGCAACACGTCACTTCAATCGAGTCAAAGTTCTTTATGACATGTGCTCAAAGGGAAATAAAAGCACGCCCTTTTGTGAGTCACAAAACAAGCACTCGGTTCAGTCACACTGCAGGTATGCAGGCTTTTCAAGGTTTCCCATTAAGACTGTTCGGTTTTACTACATTTCATTACACTTGTTGCGCAACACTTTCTACTCTGCACGTGTACTTGTTGACTTTACAGTGAGCTGAGGTCAAAGTTTTTTTTATTCTAACCTACAAGTAAAGAAGGAACATCCTTAACACCCAACAGAGCTGAAGTACCAAAGAGTATATTAAGTGACTCTAAATTAACAGCTGTCAGACCAAAACAAAAGCACGCTCTCTTCTGGAACATACCTAGGCTCTTCAGTCCCTTCATCCGCTCCCGCAGCATGCTGTTCTCCTCCAGCAGCTGTCGATAGCTGCTACCCCCCACGGCCTCATCCCTGGCTTTGACCTCACTCCCACCCGGGTCATAGATGCGATACGGACCTTTCCCATCCATTGCCGTCGCTCACTTCCTACACATGGTCCTCTGAACTGTGGAGGGGGGAAACAAAGACAAGATTATTGTTGATTTAATAAAAGTTCAACCACTTAATTGAGTAAAAACAAATAATACAATATGAGGAAAAAAGTTGGGAGAATAAGGTGCTGATGGTTCGACTGATTAGTAGAGGGTAGCAAACATGCAACAAAAATCCACTGTGTGACTCTTCTTACAAACTGAAGCATCACCTGTGCAGTTTAGCCAATAAAGTCTTTCATTGCAAACTGTGTTCTCAAACATCACAGCCATTTAAAAATAAGATCAACCCCCCCCCCCCCATCCCCCCGGAAAAGCTGTGTGCCCTGACACATTTTTATCTTTCTGTCTCTGCCGAGAAAAATGTGTAGTTATCGATGAGGCTCCGCAAAACCTGATGAAATGACCCATATTTTCTGAGTGACTAAATAAGAATAAGATAACTACAACGCTCGTGACCAAAAATACACAAAAGAATTAAAAAGGAAAATGCAATAAAAAATAGTTTAAATGTTTAACACAGAGAATAAAATAAAGCACAATCCGGCTGATGATAGCTACATTGATTGGCTGAAAAAAGGCTAATATTAGTTTTCGCTGTTGTCATGCAAATTGATAGCAACATCTTGGTTAGCCGTCGGCTAGCTAGTACTGGATGACAAAGCGGGACAGGAAGCCGCAAGCGCCTCGTATTTCTGCACAAAAAACCTCTTCTGTCGGTGCTACGAGTGAGTCGAAATGAGGAGTTAAACGGCGAAACGAAAACACAAAAAAAAAAGACAAAAGAGCTTTTGTCTGACTGGGTACCTTTCAGCTCGTAGTGGCCTCTCTTCTGGCTGGCCAGACAGACATCTATTACGGAAGTAGTCTACTGAGTCTATGCCGTAACCTGGGAAATTCCACCTCGCAACGTTTGATGTAAACAGCGACGATTGACAGCCTGCTGGGCCAATCAGGATGAAGCTCTACGTAAGAGGGCGTGTTTTTATCTGGGGCCCTGACCGTGATGTAAACACAGGAGAAAAATAAAATAAAATAAAACCACATACACGTTTAATAAAGGGGCTTCCTTTCAAATACATTTTTACTGTGTTTATGATTTGCTGGCAAGTATATATAAAAATATCCCCGCATAGCAAAAATATTTTCTAAACAAATAAACTACTAAAT